GTGGGGAAACTGTCGGCCATCGCGAAACCGGCACTTGGTGCGACCCACCACCGAACGGGTCCCGACATCTTCACTCCAACCAAGTTTTTGTTCAGAGCGTCACAAATTCCAAACCTGCTCCTAGCGCCGGTTGCGGCACAGCCTTGCACATGGAGAAGCCATTGCCAACCATCTTCGTCAGAATGAGCGACAATGCATGCCCTAGAAACCAAGTTGCTAGCGGCTCCAGCTACGCCGCCATGACGGCGGACGGGCGATCAGCTGGCGATTTGTAGGACGCGATCGGAATTTGTTTTCTCGGCCGCAAAGCATCCAGGTTTCAAAGAGGAGTTATGCAGTCATAACATGATTTGCTTTTTACATCAAGGCTTGAAAGTTGCACAGTGTCCAGGCTCTGACGCATGCAGAATGCAGGGTAAAGTTTGAGCAGGAACCAGCAACGTGCTACAACATGGATGACTAGCATAGCATTGCAACATCTTGATACAGGCGTTCGAAATCTTGCGCTTACTAACGCATGCTGCACGCACAACTGATATTTAGACCTCCAATCAAAGCCTCCAACTTACTGGAAACTTGTCTCTAATATCTCTGGCTTGCGCTCCTCCAAGTCCAAAATCATCTGTCCGAAAAGCCCATTCGCCCAAGAGAACCACTGTCTTGTCCAGTCACTCTCATTAAAGCTGTTGATACTCTCGTGAATCAGCCCCAAGCCATCAGTACTGCTCACAATCTGAGCAAGCTCGTTCACAATTTCGCCTTCGTCATCGCTCGTGAAAATGCGTACAATGGAAGCCATGGGCCAAGCCATGCCTGGTCCCTGATGCGGGCCGCCAATAGCATTAATGACAGGACCTCTCATGAAGTATGGGTTTGTCGAGCTGAGCACTAGATCGCGTGTGTTCGCATATGTCTCCTCATTAACCGGATACTTGAAAAAAGGTGCTGAGAGGAGACCCGGAATGTTAGCGTCGTCCATGATGACGCGCCCGCCGAAGCCGTCGACCTCGAATGCATAAATCTTGCCATATACTGGGTGATCAACCGTCCCATGCGTTTCAATAGCGTTGCGTAGCGACTCTGAGAGGCTCGACATTCTTTTCGCAAGCGCCGCGGAACTTGTGCTATTGAGTTTACTCATGATTTCCGCTGTTGGAGCCAGGTACGAGCTAAACATCATATTGGCTGGGATGTAGAGCTGGAAGATAGTGGAGTCGTCGCTTGGTCGGAAAGCACTTCTGATTAGGCCAGTTCCGTTGGCAACTGGATTGCCGATTCCATCGTTCGCAAGAGTTTCGGTTGCTCTGGTCGTGGTTCGCTCCCACGTATACGGACTCTGTAAAACCGCTCCGTCCGGACCATAAGTTGGAAGCATCATATCGTCGGCCACATCCAGTACCGCTTCGATAGCTTTGGCCCACTGGAACTTTCCAAAGAACTCGACATCTCCCGTTGCTTCGTAGTAGTCGGCAGATATCTGTAGAAAGGCAGCAAGCGAGTCGAGCTCATATTTGCATTCAAAAACGCTGCTGTTTGAATATTCAGGGAAAACAATGTCTTGGTTTCCAGACTCGTTCTCAGCTGGAGGGATACCGCTTTCGGCGGGCGGCTGGAACGAGTTGCAGTACGGTGCTGTGAGTAGGTATCGCGCCTGGAGGTTGATGACTCCCCGGTACAAGCTGGCGATCGAGTTCGGATCGCTGCTGGCGTTCAAGAGGGGCAGATAACTTTGCAGCTGATTCGACGAGTCCCGCAGCCACATCGCATTGATGTCTCCTGTGATGATGAATGTTAACTCTTCATCGGTGTTGTTGGCTGCGTAACCCTTCCATGCGATTGCTGTATCGAGCGTATTGGGGTAGGCATTTTGGAACAGACGGTACAGGTCTGGGTCTTTGATGACACCTTCCATGCGTGTGATGATGTCCTCAAGACCCTGCGACTTGAAAGTCCGACATTCTTCAGACGGTCGTTGGTAGGCAAGCTGATATTTGCCGGAGCTCAAAGGTTCATGAACCTCGAGTGCGTAGTCCACGTATTCTGGACATTGCGCTGAGACGAGCAATGGTATGTTTGTGAGTGCACTCAGAACCACGAGGCTGCGCATCTTGACGTAGGGTAGCAAGCCAATCTCGGGATGTCAAAAGGAAGTACTGAAGATATGAGGTATCGCGAGGAAGGCCCCAGAGTATATCCTCGGGGCTATGACGGCACACATGGATCGTCATGGTCGCCGGCTGCCTTTGCTGCATTCGCTGCTTTTTGTTCCGAATAAATGTACCCCGCTTATGGATCTCACGAGCAAACAAAATAGCTTGGCGACGGATGTAACGTTCACTGAAGCTATTCGATGGACCCATGGGGTAGAAAGCACGTCGACGTCATTTTGCTCGTCAACCGGGCCGAACGGTCAGCGGGCTGGAAATTGGTATTCGGAAGAAGAAGGTAGTAATCAGTCTGCGGATGGTTGTGTACAAAGTCTGTCAACTGACTCAAATGTGAGAAGTGCCGACATTTTGCGCTGTCATGGCTGTGGTTGAGCATCAAGCTTTGACGATCTGCGGGGATGGCACGCGTTACGCACCTCACCTAGGCACCAAGGCGCCGAACAAAGACGCACAGCATCACTTTGTGTACGTACCTGAGTTTGCCCAAGGTAGATACATAATGAACATTTTCGGTGAGTCCCGACGACGATTAGTGACTTTCGACAGCATAGATCCATGGGAGGAGCTTTAGGGTCATGAACCACAATGGGTTAGCGGCCCCGGCCCCGGCATTAAACGAAGAACGCTTTCTGTCACGAGCCTCGTTAGAACTCTCCGCTTCCCCGTATATCATCCATCATGGTCACCGCCTAAAAGTTGACAGCGACACAGACATCTGGTCTTGTGGCTGGACTGTGTGGATGGTGAGCAACGTTGATTCAACGTAACCATATTGCAGCGTCCCCGCCTACTTCAGCTTTCTCTGCAAGGCAATGCGCCGATCATCCTGAGTTGGAGATACCAGGAGGCACGATGGTGTGCTGACTGCCTCAACCAGTATGAAGAACATCGGCTGCGTTACGGAAACTGCCGGGAACATAATGCCTCGTGCAGCTTCTGTATCTTCAGTCCGGTACAGCTCCGAGATTCCGCCTTTGACAAAGATTACAAAAGAAAGTTCTTTTCGAGAAAGAAGTCTTTCTTCAGATACGACGCGTCCATCACTCTGCTGCAAATGCTACAGGACTAAACCGTCGGCACGGTAGAATGATCCACTCTACACGTGGGATGCTTGTCCTCTTACTGGGATCATCTGCAGAACGAACCCTCGCGAACTGTTGTCGAACGCAGTTGGACGCCGGTTTTGCCTTAGGTGCGCATAACAAGCTGGAAGATAACTACAAGCAGTTTCTAGATAGGTTGTAAGCTAGATCCAATTTAGTGTTGGCATCTCCTGATCCTTCGCATGTCTTATTCGTTGGCTCGCAATAGTTTTTTGCAGTTACCTCGAGACTCAATGAATATCACTCGGCCTCTTAAAGACAGAATGCGACATCCTTTCTAGACATTAGTGATAAATGGCGTCTCATGCTGACCCTTTAGTGTTATCTCGCCGCTTGAACAGCATGTGAATTCATGGTTGCTGATCTCAATTCTTTCGATCCTAGTTGCTAAGACAATATTGTGGTCTATGCCTTGACTGCTAGATATGAACATAATAACGACAAAAGCATTTGACGTATAGAAAAGGTTTGCGCTAAACTGCTTGACATGCTACTCCAAATGAATTGGATTAGAAAGTCCTGCAAGACTCAATAGCCATTCCTGTGGAGACCGTACACCAGAACTCCAACCCCTGGTGTATCGCTGTCTATCCCGAATCAATCCGTCTTCCAGGATCCTAAAGGCATCTTGGTTGCGAGTTAAACATAGGCTCTTTTCGATCGAGAACCCCATATTCATACTACTTCGGTCGTGTGATGTAGAATGTGAGGCAAGAGTAGTTCGACGAACATATTCCACCAGTCCGGGAAGAGGAGATATTCCGATCAACGTTCCACGTCTTTCACTTCAAAAGCCGACTTCCTCTCGTGAGACTTGACCCCACGTACCTGCAGGTTATGCCTCTCAGTCATTACATCGTGTCGTGTCGTCGGTTGCTATGTTGTGGGGTCCTTGGGAGGACCCTCGTATATCGCAGCTTATTCTGTTATTCGCCTTAGCGAGCTTGGAGGGTCGCTCCTTTGCTCATCCGTAAGTGGTGTTGCTTCCGCTGTTCGAGTCAGCCTCAGGAAGGTTGTGTAAGGATGATTATTCCATCTTACCTTGGACTCATTGGTGCGTGAGCCATATTACCACCATTCGATTGATAGTAGGGTTTTGGCAATCCAAGCTGCGGAAGCTTGCGCCAGCTTCGTTCTCGTACTTCTCTCATGTACGAATCTTGTTCTGGAGTCCGATGGAAACGGCTTGACTCATCTTCAGGCTCTCCACCCATAAATCTAGCGACGGCAAAGCCACAGCAAACGAGCGCGCCTGCTCCGAGAATGACGAGGAAAATGATTAGAGCTGGGGCGATGTCGAAGCCCATGTTGCCGTCCCTTTTCTGGAGATACATCTTGGTTGTGAGGAGAGGGAGTATATGTTGTGATACAAGTGTTTGTGTGACGAGAGCGAGTGATAAAGGATGGGAGAGGTGTGTATGCTGCTGTGACACGCTCACGATCAATAAAGCCAAGGCAGAGAGTAAGCCTGATGCGCGGAGGTTCCGGAAGCTGAGAGAGTGACAAGAAAAAGACCGAGAGAATGGGTATTGGTATGCTGACGACGACAAGACTGTATGGTGTGATGTGACAGCGTTCCACAAACACCGAGTTGCGAGACCCTGCGTGACCCGATCACTAACCTATATACCGTTGCAGCTATCCTTTCGGGAACCGCAAGTCTGACAGATCGTGCATTTGCTGCGAACCTCGACCCAATCGGTTGCTAGGAGAATACGACCCTTTCACCATGCTATTGGCTGTATCACAGTTTCACGTGCTCGGACAGACAGTTACCCCACCTACCGACCAGATCCAAGGCCTTGTTGGCCCTCAGAAACGCGTAACACCCCAGCCTATCCGTTGCGTAGACACGCGTGGAAGTGTTGTTCCCGGACAGTCCGGAGGGGCTATGTTAGCCAGAAGTTTCGGACCTCCTGACTTGGCCCAACTCTTGGACTCTTCGAATTCCTCAGGCATGCGCGCGGTGGCACCTCCGACATTTCCTTTTACCTGGGCGCAATCTTGATGCGAGTATTTCTGTATTGTCGGGGCTGTAGAGGGCGATGTTCGCTGGGGAGACCTGTGGTGTTGCTGCGGTCTCACTCAGCTTAGATGACGCGTCACCCGCACCCTCAAGGCTTGCCGAGCACTAAATTCCCCACCTTCTGAGGTCAACAGCGAGGATACCAGACTCTTATATGAAGATGCGACACTCAATGACGCGAATTTTTGTTCCTGAAAGATGCGCATCGTTCGCAGATCGTCAGGTCCGGCAGTGCGACAAATTTAGCACGTCGTCTCAGCATCCTGGGCTCCCGCAATCCTCCTGAGCCTGAACCCGACTGCCCAGGTCTCTCTTCTCTGACGCCTTCTCATAGTCTTCAGCAACAACCCGCCATATCATGATGCACTTCTTAGAAAAAAAAAGTTCTGTGAAGAGCGCAATTTCCTTCGGAGTTCGTCAAGTGTAAGAGAAATATCCGTTCTATTTCCATGTCCTGTCGCACGAAGAGACGGCTGAAATGAGCTCTGCTCAATAAAGTTTGCTGTTGTCTTGTGTCTTGCGAATTCTTAGGCTTCCAAGGTTTCCTCCACTGTCGCTAGGCGTACTCTAAGTGAGAACCTCTCTAGACCTGGCGGACGACGAACATCTTGCAACACTAATCCCAGGTCTCCAAGTCCAGTATCCAGCAGAGACAACCTTCGAACAACAATAGAAGGCAAAAAAGCCTGGAGTCTCAAGCGCATTAGGTTGGGGCTGCACTGGAGATTTGTACCAGCTCTTCCATGAACGACACGCGCTCTTGTACGTGCTAAGATGTTTCAGCTGTACGCATTTCCAGCCTTATGGTGATGAATCATCGCTACTAGGTAGAAGTTCGGTTCTACGGTCCGTATTCAATCTATCTTGATTAGCCGTATTAAGGTTTCCTACGCCACCGGATATAATCGATTCGAATGCAGCAACACATGCAGATATGCTGCGAGTATGTCCACCACCCCGTGGGGTAACTGTTCCACTGCATGTCGGCAGCTGTAGGGCTCCAGTGATTGCCACATATCGGTATTGTATTTGGTTAACCGCAGGATCACTGCATGTACACGCAACGCAACAGCAAATGCTTGAGCACGCAAATTTCCTACGAGAACGAGGGTTTACATGTCCAGACCCATCAATGTACCGAGCGATCCACATCGCCCAGAGTCTAAGTGTACAAAGTACCACAACGTCGTGGCTGAAACCAGCACGTGGTTGGTGATTGCCTGGAAAGCGGCAATGGCCGTAGCCGATAATATATTACCCATCACCAGTTCCCGGGCGAGGCTGCGTCTGGTATATTAAATTCAGTGTCATTTCAACCCCAGTGGCCTATCGCATTGGTTTCACACCGTCACCAGACTGGAAACACTTCTGGGCTTCCAATGATCCAAGAGCGCGGCGACCAGGGCGTGTTTCCATGAGCGGATGGCGTACAGCTCAGAAACCGGGTCGACTCGTGCATGGAGATGAAAAATTGATTGCAAGCATTCGCGAGTACCTGGTAGAGGGAGATTTCTGGCGTTTAGAGAAGGCCACTAGAAGAAGAGAAGAGTATATGAAGGGACGATAGATCCGGGTTCAAGGTCTCTCACGACAGCAAATAGTTACTACGCATCTTCTACAGTCGCTTTCTACAATCCATTCACTCTACAATCACCAAGATGCTCTCCCTTCTCCTCCTTCTTGCGCCCCTTGCGGCTGCCCACGGCCATGTTGACAAGGTCATCGCAGACGGCAAGGAATACCAAGGTAGAAAGCCTCATGTGCGAGATACTTGTGAGACATACACTGATTTTGTATGTCTGATTAGGCTGGAATGCTGCGCTCAAGTACCAGAACCCTATCCCGGCCACTGTCGGCTGGCAAGCGGACAACCTCGACAACGGCTTCGTCTCCCCTGACAGTTTCGGCACTGCGTCCATCGTATGCCACAAGCAAGGCAAGAGCAACGGCGCCTACGTTTCTGTAAAGCCTGGCAGCAAAGTCACCTTCAAGTGGGACACCTGGCCAGCTAGCCATGTTGGCCCAATTCAAGAATATATCGCGGCTTGCAATGGCGACTGCGGCTCTGTCAGCCCCACAAGCCTCCAGTGGACAAAGATCCAATCCAGCGCCTGGAAGTCAGGAAGCAACCCTGGCACTTGGGCTACTGATGATCTCATTAAGAACAACTTTTCCTGGGATCTTACTATTCCCAACCTTGCACCTGGTAACTACGTTGTTCGCCACGAGATCATCGCGCTGCACGCTGCTGGTCAAGCCAATGGCGCCCAGTCTTACCCTCAGTGCATCAACCGTAAGTGTCCCTGTATGGACTGCATGTGAGACATAAGCTAACTTCGCACGCCTACATCTAGTCAAGGTTGAGGGCTCTGGAACTACGAAGTTGAGCGGTGGTGTTCCCGCTACTAGCTTCTACAAGGTAAGATACGCTGCTCAAATTATACCTGTTCTGTGGGATATCTGCTAATGAAACGATATAGGCGAACGACGCTGGTATTCAGTTCAATGTCTTCAGGTCTTTCGACAGCTACCCTACACCCGGACCTGCCCTCAACAAGCTCTCTAAGCGTCATGCTAAGGACCTTGAGTACTAGATCATGGTACAAATTCTGGGATCAGAGATCTCATGAGCGAATAGATCAGGCTTGACTTCTCACCTACTGCATACTTCTTTCTTTTGTTCGCTGGTTAGGGCCTTCGATACGATGTATATAGAGCATTGATGGAGTGTAAATAGCATTTTAGAATCACACTGTGTTTTCTTCGAGATCCTGCTGTAGCCTGAAGGTACTTGATGCATTATTGCCGCACATGTAAGGATAGGCTGAAGTAGTCCGGGTATCACTTTTGAGAAAAGGCCTGAGAGTAATGAAACAAGAACCATCATTGGGTGATGTGCAGTACGGTGAGACTTGCAAAGCACTGCTACTCGCTCGATTCATAATCTGTTACCTGTAAAACTTCCCACATCGGTTTTATACACCAAATGTGCTTAAAGCCACAAAGTATAGTCGGCAACGTAAAGGCTCACCCTCTGAACATTTTCATAGGTCGAATGACACCGCAGATGTTTATCTACTACTATGATAACATGATTCGCCCTGCTACTTTTCGTGTAACCAACTCAAATTAGTGATCTCCACCCTCAGATGGGATCCATTTCATACAATATTCACCTGCAAGAGTTTAGTTATGCTTACATCGAGTGTTTTCGTGTGCCATGTGCTGCTGTAGAGTAATTAGGATAACACTCTCCTGTTTGGGACGCTTTCAAGCTTGACTGTCCTCAATATCGTCTTGACCTGGCCGCTTGGGCGACTGAAAACTTCGTTACTGATAGCGGCGCTTTGCTCTAAAGTTTTTAGGCAATTAGAATAACGTCGCATTCGCATACATGTCATACCTTTGGCCATTGCTCTTCTTCTTGCTGCTGACAAAGTCGCTTTTTAACGGCCGGGGCGTTCGCATGCCTAACCTTCCGCGATTGCTCTCGTACCTGGCCCCGTTTGAGCAGTTGGCATTCTCTTAGTATGTAATCCTTCTTTGGGCTTTATTGTGACAATGCGTCTGTCTTGCTTGTGTTAAGCTGATTCTGGGGTTTACTTCCACATTGCCTTTATCTGGACTTGTTCCTGCCTCTGTGCCTTCATGCATATCTTCTACTGTTGCTCGTTGAAGCTCTAACGCACACGTCTTACTTCTGTATCTCGTCGTTTGATCGTGGCTCTCTATCCCAATTCCCCTTTGCGAGGTGCTTCCGTGGCTTTGACTCGTTCTGCATGTCTTCCACTAGATTCCCCGCCTCGTTCCTTTAGTTTCTACTATATGTTTGCCACTTCTTTAGCATCTCCTTGTGCCCTTTTCATTATCCTTGCTGTGCGCTTTACAGTTTTTCATTGTCCAGTGTCCCGTGCTGTCAATCTGAGATGGTAAAGATTCTACTTGGTCGGTATCTGATCGTGGTTGCTATTATATTTGGAATCATTCTTTGTTGCTCTTAAGTGCGTCTCAAGCAATTTCGATCCAATAGTTAGGTTACAGTCATGTAAGCTCTGATTGAGAATGTAATAGTGCTTACATTCTGAAGGTTTTTAGTACTACCCGTTAGTCAGCCCGCTTACTTTCAGAATGGTAAGCGAATTGCAGTCTCTTGGAAGGTTGTGCCATCTCAGCAAAATGTGCGCGTTCATTGATCCCAAGAACGTTTTAGCAGTCCAAGCGATCAGGCGACTTAAGTGGCTCATTCAAAATGTAGAAACGTCAAAGGTTGTCAATGAGGCAAAGGGCTGGATGATATGTGGGTGGATGCAATGTTAAATATAGCAGAGAAGGCTGGAGGAGAAATGGCACAAACAGCCTTATATGCGTACTGAGCGTAGCTCTTGCTATGTGGTAGGGTGAATGTGGCTGAGTAAAGGTACCCAAGTAGAAGTATCCGAGGGAGTAAGAGAATCAAATGTACCGGAGGAAGACTGAAATGTATGTCAATAGTAGGTACGGTACATGTAGGAAAACGATAACACAAGGACACCAAAAGAAAAAGCGAAGCACTGTCGTAGCTATTTATGCTGCTAATAATGTAAGTCAATCAGCTAGGGAGGCGAACGATATTGCGTACTAGCCATTGTTACCTAGGCTGTTTGGTCTAGGTCGCAGGTTGTCTTCATCTTTGCATCGGATGTTCGCCAAACTGGCTCCGGTTGCCCATCTGCACGCCATGACCTTGCATCTCTTTGCCATATTCCATAACCTCTTCTTCCCATTTTTGGAGCTCTTCCAACTCCCCTCCTTCAATGATCTTTTCAACAGCGCCAGCAAGTTTCATAGCGTCAAGAGCGGCCTGATTCGTACTCGCAGCTGTGTGTGGTCTAAAGCCTGCCAACGCATCACCCAGCAATAGTACTCTACCGTTTGCTAGCAAAGCAGAGGGTGCGATGACATCCGTGATGGTTTGTATGAACGGCACCTTGGTCTTGTTGACG